CTGGGATCATGACCTGAGCCGAAGGCAGATGCCCAACCGACTGAGCCACCCAGGTGCCCCTAAAGATTTTATTTTTAAGTAATCTCTACACCCAACGGGGCGCTCAAATCCACAACCCTGAGATCAAGAGTCACATGCTCTGTGGACTGAGCCAGCCGGGCACCCTCAGTCCCTTTTAATTTAATAGTTAAATTAAAAATAATTTAATTTTTTTGGGTATATACCCTGAAATGGAATTGCTGGATTATATGGTAATTCTGTTTCATTTTTTGAGGAGCTGCCGAACTCTTTTCCACAGGGACTGAGCCACTTTACATTCCTACCAGGAATGTAAGAGGGTTCCACTTTCTCCACATGCCCCCAATGCATGTTTTTGATTCGCAGTTCCTGAGTGATGTTGAGTATCTCTTCATACATTGTCCATTAGTATGTCTTTTCTGGAGAAATGTCTGTCTTTATGCCAGTACCACTCTGCTTTTACTATAGCTTTGTAAGTAAATTTTATTTTCTTTAATTTTTAAAATATTTATTTATTTATTTGAGGGAGAGAGATAGCGCGCACGAGCAGGGGGAGGGACAGAGGGAGAGGGAGAAAGAATCTTAAGCAGACTCTGTGCTAGGCAAGGAGCCTGATGCAGGGCTCAATCTCATGACCCTGAGATCATGACCTGAGCCGAAACCAAGAGTCCAACATTTTAACCAACTGAGCCACCCAGGTGCCCGTTATTTTTTTAAAGATTTTTTTTGGGGGCGCCTGGGTGGCTCAGTCGGTTAAGCGTCTGCCTTTGGCTTGGGTCGTGATCCCGGGGTCCTGGGATCGAGCCCCGGGTCCGGCTCCCTGCTCGGTGGGAAGCCTGCTTTCTCCCTCTCCCACTCCCCCTGCTTGTGTTCCCGCCCTTGCTATCTCTCTCTGTCAAATAAATAAATAAAATCTTTAAAATTTTATTAGATTTTATTTATTTATTTGATAGAGCACAAGCGGGGCGGGGGGAGCAGCAGAGGGAGGGGGAGAGGCAGGCTCCCCGCTGAGCAGGGAGCCTAATGCTTGGGCTCGATCCCAGGATTCCGGGATCATGGCATGAGCCGAAAACAAGAGTCAGATGCTTAACCAGCTGAGCCACCCAGACGTCCTGGGAATTGTTTTCTTAACTTCCTTTTCGTCTTTCTCATTGCCACTGTGTAGAAATGCAGTTGATTTTTATATATTGACCCTGAATGCTGCAACCTTACTCAACTCATTTATTAGCTCTCATTGTTTCTTAGTGGATTCTTGAGGATCTTCTATATGTGGGATTATGTCATGAGCAAATAGAGATACTTTTACGTCTGCCATTCCAATCTGGATACCTTTTATTTCTTGTTCTTGCCTATTTGCTCGGACTAGAATCTCCAGTACCGTGTTGGAAAGAAGTGAGAGCAGACATCTTGGCCTTGCTCCTGATCTAAGAGGGGAAGCTTCCAGTCTTTCACCAGTGAGTT